ATGGGGGAAAAAACTAAATTTAAAGCTGTTTTACACTTTTATTTTTTTGATGCTTAACACCCTTTTAGTCTTTGACCCAAATATATTTAATATATAAATGTAACATATTTTTCTTAAATATATACATGCATGTGTGTGTTTTTATATATACATAATAAATATACATAGTAAAAAATCGCGATTAATCATTTGACAGCACTACTTTACTGATTATAACGGGAGTGAAGTCAGTGATGTTCTTTGATAATGTAGATCAGGGGTGTCAAACTCAGTTCCTGGAGGGTCGCAGCCCTGCAGAGTTTCGTTCCAACCCTGCTTCAACACACATACCATGTAGTTTTCAAATAAGCCTGAAGGACTTTATTAGTTGGATCAGGTGTGTTTAATTAGGGTTGAAGCTAAACTCTGCAGGGCTGTGGCCCTCCAGGAACTGAGTTTGACACCCCTGATGTAGATGTTCTTTGCTTGTTTTCTGTACCTGCTGTTTGAATAACTGAAGAAACGTAAGCATTATAATTAATAACTTACAATGCTTTTATTAAATTATCATATAAAATTATCATATTAAATACTAATTCAGCCATATCAAAATATTTTATGGCATGACATCCATATGCTACTTAGTAAACTAGTAAAAAGATACAATGTGTAGTTAATAGATTACACTAACATTAGGCTGCTTTTAGCCATACCCTGGAGTTGGTTCATTTCCGGCTATGAAACTAAGTAAATAATTAAATAAATTAGCATGATAATATTGTGTATCGTCGATCTCACAGGCTGAAAACTTTGTTGTCTCTGAATACTGAAGCCTGATTTGTCCACATCTGTGCACCTGCACAGACAAATGGCATTTCAGCCCACCAAAAAAGCCTACATAAAGGGGCTTTCACACAGTACAGTTCTAGCAACTAGCCAGCAGGGTAGTTCCTATAGAACTGATTTTCCCACCGTGCCATTTTCCTAGTTGTATTCGCACCGGCAGTAGGAACTCTGAAGTGGCTGATAGAGGAGTCTTTAAGCGCGGCTTTTACAAACATCAACAACCAGTGGATGGAGGACGCCGTGATCGGAGCTGTGTTTGTAGTGTATCATGGATTTTGTGATAATGAGGATGGAATATAAATGCATAATTTACATGATTGAAAGTGGGGCTATGAGATGAATGCTCCTATGACAACTTGAAGTGTTACATATCGTCAAGGCTGAGAAAAGAACACAACACTGCAGACAACTGGTCAATGCTGTTATCACTGTTTTTCATGTTTGTGGGGTTAATATCTTTACGTTGCTTTGTAAAAATGCTGCTTTTAGCCATACCCTGGAGTTGGTTCATTTCCGGCTATGAAACTAAGTAAATAATTAAATAAATTAGCATGATAATATTGTGTATCGTCGATCTCACAGGCTGAAAACTTTGTTGTCTCTGAATACTGAAGCCTGATTTGTCCACATCTGTGCACCTGCACAGACAAATGGCATTTCAGCCCACCAAAAAAGCCTACATAAAGGGGCTTTCACACAGTACAGTTCTAGCAACTAGCCAGCAGGGTAGTTCCTATAGAACTGATTTTCCCACCGTGCCATTTTCCTAGTTGTATTCGCACCGGCAGTAGGAACTCTGAAGTGGCTGATAGAGGAGTCTTTAAGCGCGGCTTTTACAAACATCAACAACCAGTGGATGGAGGACGCCGTGATCGGAGCTGTGTTTGTAGTGTATCATGGATTTTGTGATAATGAGGATGGAATATAAATGCATAATTTACATGATTGAAAGTGGGGCTATGAGATGAATGCTCCTATGACAACTTGAAGTGTTACATATCGTCAAGGCTGAGAAAAGAACACAACACTGCAGACAACTGGTCAATGCTGTTATCACTGTTTTTCATGTTTGTGGGGTTAATATCTTTACGTTGCTTTGTAAAAATGCTGGGCACCGGTGTTTCATGTGCGTTTGGCCACTCACCATACACTTACATCACTGGTAGTTCATATAGTGCTGAATTAGACCCTACTCTGAAGTAGGAGCTAATTTAGTTCCCCCAAATGGAGTTCCTAGAACTAAAATCGTTCCTGCGATGCGAACACGTCAAAAAGCGGATAATTCCGCCAATAGTTCTATGAACTATGAAAAGTTTCCTCCTGTGCGAAAGCCCCTTAAGGCACACTGAAATCCCATTTCATCGAAATCTTTCTCCTTAAGTGCAAAGATCATCTCCTTGCTGACTCTGAAGAAAATTTAAAAAATAAGCCTTTCTGCTCACTGTGGAAAAGCCTCAGCAGCAGGTTAACGGTGATAACAGCACTGCGGCTAAGACTACAAGAGCATATTTCAATCAAATAGCTAATAGCATAATTTCAGTGACATTGTTTCAAAACCTGCTCCACAAGTGTTCAAGTGTCCCGCTTTTTCAAAGGAAAGCAGCTCCGCCCCATGTGCTCTACCAGTCTCTTTCTCTCAGGAGTCTAAGATGAGGAAACAGTGGAGTCGCTGGGCTGAATGAACGGGCCTGATTGAGCTCACCCTAGCCCATATACCGCAAGCCTCACTTTTCCTACAGCAAGGGGATTCAGTTTGGTCTCTTTGAGGGTTCAGAGGAGGACTTTGCTAATAAAACTACTGTTATTGACAGCTTCTATGCAGAGGAATATTTGGACATCATGGAGGACTCTACCCCTACAGCCAAAGGAGATTTTTTTTTTTTTTTTTTTTTTTTGCCT